ATAAATTACACCGATTTCCCGAAGATTTAGATAAAATCTAAGTAGCTTCACAGCTTAGGCACAACCACACTTACTTTCCATTTTAGTAAGACTAAATAGACTAAAATTAATACAAATAGTATGATAATATAAGGATAAAAAAAAAAATAGTGTAAAAGATTTGACATTACGATTTTTTCATTTATGTGATTGATGATTTTTTTTTTGGATAAATATTTATGTGATTGATGAGTTATTAATAAGAAGAGAGTTAATTGTTATGTAAATTAAAAGCTTGAAGATAATTTTAAAATAGTTTTATTTTTTTGGAGATAAACATCCTTTTCATTATTTTATTTTATCAAACTAATTTATATTTATAAATGGAAAATTATAATATATACTCTTATAAAAATGATATACCATATGCATCCTTAATTATGTTATTTTTTTCATTAATTATGACTAATTTTTTTCTTTAATTATGATATTATTTTAATTATGACTTATGAATTTTTTAGTTATGTGAGGATTTTTTTTTTTTTGATAAATATTTATGTGATTGATGAGTTATTAATAAGAAGAGAGTTAATTATTATGTAAATTAAAAGCTTGAAGATAATTTTAACATATGAGAGGGTAATTTTTGGGAAAATTGGGCCGAGCTGCGAGTTGGGCGTTGAGGCCCAAAACGCGGAGGACTAGGTAAAAAGGCCGTAATGAATACTCCGGCCCAGGAGAGCAATGTTACTCCGGCCTTGGGGAGACAAAGTTACTTCGGCTCACAAATGATGAAGTTACTTCGGCTAAAGGAATGGCAAAGCTGCTTCGGTTTTGACAACTTGAAGTTAGGCCGGTTTCGGAATTAGTCCGGTCGTGACTTACAATGGTTAGGTCGGTCAGAACTTATTACTTGGAAGTTTGATCTAAGCACATCAAGGTTGAACAGGGCAGCCGAAGTAAGGAGTTAGAGGAGAAGACCGAGCTAAGAATAGTTCGGCCCTCTGTGGCTCGGTATAGCCAATTTTACTTCGGTCAAATGGAAGTTCGGCCATAAAGAAAACCATCCCACTTGGTTTAAGCAGTGGGGGAGGGTGTAAAAGGATAAGCATTATCCTTAGGAGAATGAATCCTAGGAGGACTCTGCATGGAGAAATACAAGTCCTAATAGGATTGTGCCACGGGAAACTTATAAAAGCTCACAAGCATCACCTTGGAGGAGGTAATTGAACACAACCTTTTTGAGAACATAAAACTTTGTCTATTTGTCAAGCTTACTGACTTAGGCATCGGAGAGGTTTCCGGCACACACCCGCCGGCTAGCTCACGTTTGTGTTTTCAGGTGATAAAGCGACGTCGTACGGAGGAGCGTGGACTTGGTCAACAGGATTATACGAGGAGAATTATTTCCTCCCCGTACAACATAATTTTATTTTTTTGGAGATAAACATCCTTTTCATTATTTTATTTTATCAAACTAATTTATATTTGTAAATGGAAAATTATAATATATACTCTTATAAAAATGATATACCATATGCATCCTTAATTATGTTATTTTTTTCATTAATTATGACTAATTTTTTTCTTTAGTTATGATATTATTTTAATTATGAGTTATGAATTTTTTAGTTATGTCTTATATATTGTGTTTAATTATGAATTTTTTTAATTATGACTCAAAAAATTAAAATTATACTATTTTTTTAATTATAAAATGTATATAACGTACACCTCATCTTTTCCAAAAAAGGGAATTTGATAGCAAAACCAAACCAAAGTTAGTTGGGCCCGGTTCATAATGACTAAGCCGGGTCGGGAGGCACTCGGGCCGACTCAAAACCGACCCACCAATCAAACCACTACTGTAGAGAAGGCTAAGATGCAAAATGCGGGCAGGCCCACATTGCCTCAATACACGTGTCCCAACACCGTTCGCTTTAATCACAAAGAAATCTAAAAATTTTTTTGAGTAATGCTAGAGACCCCAAATATTCTATCAAAAGTTTTACCAAATGTTTCACATGGGTGTGGGACCCACACAATGTGGGTCTCATGTGGGTCCCACACCCATGTGAGACATTTAGTAAAACTTTTAGTAGAATTTTTGAGGCCTCTAGCATTTTTAATACTTTTTTTGTCCCTCTACCTTTCTCTCTCTCTTCCGTCACAAACTTTTATAATTTTTTAATTATTTTAGTCAAATAAATAAATTAATAAGATAAAATATCACTTTTGAATTATAATCATTTCATTTTTCTCTTATAAAAGTTAAAAAAATCAAAAAAATCTATCTCAAACGAAACTTTTTAACTCCAGAATAAAATACCTAAAAAGGCAACCTATATTTCAAACGAATCGTGATTGATTCAGGCAGTCATGTTGTATACCATTTATATAGTGGTTGATAGATAAAGTGAGATTTATAATTTTATATTGAGAGGTGTTTTAGCAACATACTAAAAAAAAAAAAAGGTTAAAAATCAACTTTTAATCTATTTTGGGTTGCATCAAACAGTAAAAAAAGTTAACTTTTAACTATCTTTCCAAAACGCCATGAATGATTAGGGAGTATAATAATTTGTGATTGATAACGGATAAAATCATATAGTACCACTAGATCAATCAATAATTTTTCCAAACTAAGAGCATGTCTCATCATTCACATTTTCTTTTATGAAATTTGAATTTGATTAAAAAGTATTCAAAAATTATCTCTACTTTTTTTATTAAATGTTTATCAAATTAAGGGAGAGTATTTTTTTTCATCAAATTAAGAACTTATTAAATCCCTCATCAAATTTGAATTTGATGAAAATTAAAAAAGATGAAATATTGAAAATGATTTTTTAATTTAAATTTGATGAAAAATAAAATTTGGGACAAGAAAGTAAGGTTGCGTTTGGTAGAGCTTTCTGAATATGATTTGAGAGTAAGAGTTGTATTTTGAGTTTGTGAGTTTTGAAATTATGTTTTGAGTGTAAAAAATTTGTTTGGTTATAGTTTTTGAATAGAGTGTTGAATTGGGTTTTGAATTGTATGTGGAATTGAGTTTTATATCAAATTTTGATAAAAATTTAATGAAAAAATTGAAAATAATTTATATCAAATCAATTTTTTTTTTTAATTCAAATTAAATGAGAAATTCGATGGATGATTGGAGATGATGCTGTAAAAAAAGAAAAAAGAATAAGATAAGAGATGGTCTAACACATCGGGATTGTTTGGAAAATGTTAGATTAGTATACATTTTTTATTTTTTATGAAAAATATAAAATGTGAATTAAAATCAAAATAATATAACATGATCAAAATAAAAAATAATGTGATTGAAGTAAGATAATTGTGATATAACATAGCCTTCGTTTGATATGTTAGGTTTTTAGTCCTTTGGCTATTTTAATTATAAAAAGATAAAATAAGTTTTTTATCTCAATAATATAAAACATCACATTCAAACTATAATCATTTTATTTTTTCTTTCACAGAAGTCAAAAAAAATAAAAAAATCAATCCCAATTCTAAACAATTTTTTTTAACTCAGACTAAAATAGTCAAAAAATAAAAAAAAATTAAAAAGCCAACCCACATCCTAAATCAATCCATAACAAAAATGATAGAGATTTCAAAAATTCTACCAAATGTCTTATACGGGTGTGGGACCTACATGAGACCCACAATATATAGATCCCACACCCATATAAAATATTTAATAAAATTTTTGAAACTTCTAGCATTACTCAACCCATAGGCCCATTTGTTTTGGGGTGTAAAGGATGAAGTGAGATTAGGATGAAGGTGGGACCATTTAATGTTGTGTTTATTTGTAGAGTTGAGAAATGAATTAGGATGGTGGAGGAGATTAAGATGGAGGTTGGAAGGGAGATTGGGATGGAGGAGGTGGAGGTGGTGTTAGAAAAATAGTGAGGGGATTAGAATTTATTTATTTATTTTTTACATATTGGGAATTTTTTTTTGAACATTAATATTTAATTTTTTATATTTTTTTATTATTTTATATAACAATAATTTAATAATTTCTACACTAACAACTCTCATTAAAAAAGACACAATTTTATTTAATTCCATCATTATCAATTATCTCACTATTAATCTACTCACTGTGTGTAACAACCCCCATACTGGTTACTGATTAATGACTGATTGATTACCGATAATCACCGATTACTGCTAAACGGAACTGATGATGACTGGAGGTGGAGGTGGAGGTGATATTAGAAAAATAGTAAGGAGATTATAAATTTTTTTATTTTTTACATATTAGAAATTTTTTTTGAACATTAATATTTATTTTATTATTTTATATAAAAATAATTTAATAATTTCTACACTAATAACTCTCATAAAACAAATACAATTATACTTAATTTCATCATTATCAATCATCCCACTACTAATTCCTTCACCATGAACTCGCTCAATTATCTTCTATACTATTATAAAGTGAACAGGAACTTTGGTGTCCTGAAACTTTACTCTCCTCATGCCATGTGGCAGTATTTTTTATTTTTTAAAAAAAAGTTAAACAAAGAGATGGGCAAGGCTTGCTTTACTCTCCTCATGCCATGATGCCATGTGGCAGTATTTTTTATTTTTTAAAAAAAAGTTAAACAAAGAGATGGGCAAGGCTTGCTTTACTCTCCTTATGCCATGTGGCAGTATTTTTTATTTTTTAAAAAAAAATTAAACAAAGAGATGAGCAAGGCTTAAACCCATGACCATGAGTTTAAGTACGAGGACTCATACTACTTAAACTAAGTACACATTACAATATTAATTTCATTATTATTTTTTTTATTCCTACTTATTTAAATTGCACACACATCGTGTGTGCCACCCACTAGTACTTCCACAAACAAACGGCCATAATGTGTGGAATATTTTGGCACATGCCAAGCTTGTAATAGTCTCGTAATTTCAACCCATCTTCAGGGTCAATCTGCAGTGAACAGTAGTGTCAACGGACGCCAAAAGGAATTCAAATGCAGCCAAATAATTCTAGAGAGAGAAACAGAGAGAGAGGAAAGAAGCAGCAGCTCATCAGATAGAGAGAGAATCTCTTAATAAATTTTCTTTTTTAGTATTTTTTTGTGGGGGTTGTTGTTTAAACTGGTCTCTCCAATTCTCTCCAATCATGAGTTAATGTATGTGTGTGGGGGTTTGTGTATTATTCATCGTCATCATCATCTTCTCCCTCTAAATAATTTAAGTGTTTTCTCTCTCTAGTCTCCCGGCGGGAGAGAAGGAAGTGGATGAGTAGAAGAAAGTCATTTCTCTGCTTCTACGAAACCAATCCCCTTTTGAATCTTCACAGAATATCCCACTTTCATTCTACTCTTCTTCTCTCTCTCTTCAAAACCCTTTTTCTTCAACTACAATCCCGGCTTGTCCTTTCTTTTTATGTTTCTCTCTCTACTTTGTTCAAAGTAAGCAATCATCATATGTTCAGGTACTCCTCTCTCTGATTATGAAATTCCATGACAATCAAGTAGTTGGGTTTTTTCTTTTTGTGCCTGATTTTAGTTCATGAAGTTTTGATTTGTATCTTAACTCAACTTGTTTATGAAAGGGGTGTCTGGTGATGAAATTTAAGGGATTTACTTGTTTCTCACTTTAATTTTATGTGCTGTTTGTGTTCTCTCTGCAAATTGAACTATTTGTGGTCAAAATTTAATTTTTATGAGTTTGTTCATTGTAATTTTGTTTTATTTTTTGTTGGCAGTATATATGAAGTGATTCATAATTTTGAGTTTGAGACATTGTTGATCAGGGACCCAGTGATGTCCACAGATTAATACTAGTTGGTAAATTAAATTGGAAAATTAGATAATGAACCTGGTTTGAGTCTGAGCTTGAATAGCTTAATTTTTACCTATGCTAAAAGAAAACTAGAGAAGATGTAGGTTTTTATTTTTATTTTTATTTTTATTTTTATAGCTGATTAAATTGATGGCTATGTGGGCCTTTGTTTAGCATTACTTTTGTCAGGATTGACCATACAATGAATGATTGATAGTAGATGATTCATTGTTAACCAATAGTAGGATAATAGAAAAAAGATCATGGGAGCAAAACTACGGTGTTTCACAGAGAAACTGATCATATGAACATAAATTTGTGAAACTTCATCACATGATAATTGGCCAATGTGTTTGTGCTGTTTGATTGTCCTCCGTTTTGCCATAATGTAGACATAATAAAGAACTGCTATATTTGCACACCTCTAGCGATGAAATTACTCTTAAGGAATTTTAATTTAGTGATTTTTGTATTCTTTGCACTATTATTTTTTTTTTCTTATAAAAATATTGCACAATTATTTATATATGCTTTGATCTTGCAATTTTTGGTGTTAATATGCTGTAAATTAATCAGTAATGCTAATTTTTGAACCTAAAGAGTGAAAAAGGAAAACACAAAAGAAGAAGTCTTGGGTATAAGCATTTGTTATTGATACTATATAAAATAAAACAATGAAACTGCTGTATAATTTTTTATAGGGTTAAATTACTCTTTTCATCTTCCAACTTTCGCACCAATTTTTTACTTTGGTTCCTCATCATCTAAGTGCAACTATTATGACCTCAAACTTCAATCCAAGCTTCAAAATGGCCCTTCCATCAACCCACTTATTAAAATTTGTGTGAAAGTTGAAATATGAGGGACCTAATTGGAATTTGAGTGAAAGTGAGTGTAACAAGTATGATTTAACCTATAGTTTTTTGCTTTATTGCTTCCCTCACATAACCACTATGTTTCCAAAATTTTTAAGGTGAGTGACAGGAGGACCATATTGAAACGTGAGTGGAGTTCGAGGACTTAATTGTTGCACTTAGAAGATGATGTACTAAAGTGAAATTTGGGTGAGGGCTTAATTGTTGCAAGTGGAAGATAATGGACTAAAGCGAAATTTGGTTGATGACTTAATTGTTGGCCAAAATGAAATTTAGGTGAAAGTTGAGGGCCAAAAATGCATTTTCCTCTTTATTATTATCATTTTTTAAGTTTATTTATTATTTTTTATAACATGCTTGTTTAGGATGTTAATACTTTCGTCCCTCAACATGGGTCTTGTTCATATTCTTCATTATGTGCACCGCCTCCTCTTGACTAGAGCATTTTCCTTTCGTGTATGAGCAAAATTTGATTAAAGCATTTTACCACATTTATTTTATTTCATAGCAATTTCTACATAATCCTTTATGTTTTTAGTATGTATGTCTTTTTTAGGACCCTTCACATGATTAGTAGAGTTAAAGATCTTTTAATAGTCTCATTTTTTTCATTTTTTTTGCTGATCTTGTGTAGCAGAAAGTGACTAAATGGATCAACATTTAAAGGATCTCATTTCAGGTAATTTTTTAGCAATGATTGAAATTTCATCACAGTGTATTGTTTTAATTAGCTTGGAAAGGGAAACGTTTCGAAAACATAAGAGAAATGATAATGGAATTCAGAAACATCTGGAAAGTTTGAAAACAAAAGCTAAAGCCTACATGAATATTTATACATTCTCAATAATAAAATAATCGGCAAAATTATAAATACACTCCCCATGGTTCATGAAAGTATGGATTCCCCTAGCTGATTATGAAAGTTTCATTTCAGTGTATATGCTGTTCCATTCACAGAAGGCTTTTACAAAATTATAAAAACAAAAACAAAACTACGATACTAGCAATAAACCAAAGATCAAAAAGGGGTTTAAAGGGTTAGCTGTGAAAGGGGATTCTCCATCGTAAGTAAAATACAAGAAATGTAAGATTCTAGTAGTCTTAGGGATGAAAAAAGAAAAAAAAAAAAAAATGTAAATGTGAAAGGAAGTAACAGTGACAATCTTTACTAAAAAAGGTACTTATAGTGATAAAGAAAGAGAATAAGTGATTTCAAAATGCTTGTTTTATGTTATACTCTATACCTTTCCTTTTCTCCTTTCTGCATTCTTATATTCTCCAATAAATTTAAAATTTTTCTTTGTTTTCTCTCTCTCTCTCTCAATAGCAAAAAGAGACAATAGAAATGGTTATTGTTGGATATTTTAATAGGTATTAAAATAACTCATTGTTTTAGTTTATTTTGTAGTGTTTCGGTGAGTTTCGATGCATTTTTTTGAAACATTAAATTTTAGTGTGCCATTAATGCTTTGTGACGGTTTACTAGGAAATGGAAACCTTTCAGCCATTTCGATGGAAACAATTTTTTGTTTTTTGTTCAGTAGACCCTCAATCCCTTTTTCTCTTCAACTGATTAACGGTTATATACAGACATGAAGCATACGTTATACATGTTTTTGTACATATTTTGCATATCTCTCGATCAGCTGTAACTTTCTTGTAGGTGGTCCACCTAAAATTCCATCAGGGGATGCTTCTAGAAAACTGGGAAGTGCATGGGGGATCCCACAAGGAACTGATGCGTATCATACATCGAGTGATGCTAGCTTGTTTTCTAGCTCATTGCCTGTCCTTCCGCATGAGAAGTGTATGTTTGGCTTATTTTTTAATGTATAAATTTCTCTTATTTGCAATGGTTTCTGACATCAACCCCCCCCCCCCCCTTTGGGGTAAACCTGCAGTTTTTACTGACTCAGAACATTGTGGTCAATCTGTTGATGATGGCTTCCCTACCTTAAAGAAACTTCATCAAGAAGATGACAGTAAGGATCCACTTGAAGATGTTGAACCAAGTGCCATTGGAACGTTACTTCCTGGCGATGAAAATGAGCTTTTAGCAGGCATAATGGATGATTTTGATTTGAGTGGGTTGCCTACTCAATTGGAGGATTTGGAAGATGATGATTTCTTTGGTAGTGGAGGGGGGATGGAATTGGATTTTGATTCCCAAGAGAGCTTAAACATTGCTATGTCAAAGTTAAGCATGTCTGATGGTGTTTCTGTGAATGGGATTGGTCATTATGGTCTTCCAAATGGTGTGGCTACAGTTGCTGGAGAACATCCATATGGAGAACATCCTTCAAGGACATTATTTGTCAGGAATATCAATAGTAATGTTGAGGACTCTGAGTTGGTATCTCTCTTCGAGGTATTTCACATTAGCCAGAACACTTCTTATTGAATCTTCTAGGCATCTCTCTTGTCTGTGCTTCACTTCTGCTAGTAACATACTTGATGAGAATTTTATATGCTTGCTAATAATAGTATTTTAGTTTCTTCATATATTAGTTTATCACATAAAAAATCAGGCACGCTGTGATAAATCATTTCTCTTGAAATTCAAAATGAGTCATCCCCTCATTTTGATATATGGAATACGTTTTAGGTTTACAAGGATAATACTTTGATAAAACATTCCTGTTGATTTAATGATTTGACTGCTTATTGTCCTTTTAATTCCTAACTGACTATTTGTATCATACAAATTGATTATAACTGAACAAGTTTCCAATTTAGATCATAACCATGCAAAAGAAATACTGAAAATATTTTGTAAAATGGTCCAACTTATGTACATCTATATTTTACTCATGATTTATTTCTGTTTTCTGTCTTTGTAAAAATTAATTTTTATTGTCTAACTTGAACAGTATGGGATTGACTTTCATTCACTTGGTTTGTGTGCTCTGTTTTAGTTATGTGTCATTTATAACTGAAAGAATATTGATTTATTCCAAATTTTCTTAACTAGCAAATGTGAGTTTTATTCTTCTTCAAACATCTTAAACAATTAGATGATCCAAGTATCTAAAGAGTGTACGAGTGTCAGAGTCAGACACATCCCACTCATTTATGTGTGTCATATTCGGTGGACATGGATACCTTGGGGGGAAATAGAAGAGTCCATGTCATATAGATTGAGTTTTATTCTTCTTCAAACATCTTAAACAATTAGATTATCTATCTATCTAAATAGTGTACAAGTGTCAGAGTCAGACACATCCCACCCATTTATCTTTGTCATATGCAGTGGACATGGATACCTTGGGGAGAAATAGAAGAGTCCATGTCACAGATTGAAATAATAGGTTTGCCTTGTACTTTTAATAATTAGGATTCCATGTGTCAGTAGTCAATACTTCCAATTATTTTCCTTTTTTCTTTTTTGAAAAACCTGATCCTTCAGGATACAATCATTTTTGTTGTGATTGACCAGAAACTCTACAACCTTCTATTATTTGATGTGAGCTAATGAAGATTTTGATCAGGGTTTTTCCGTGTTCTTTCCTGTTACAGTCTTTCATTTATTCTTCTGTACAAAATAGTTTTCTTTCTCTATTTCATTAGCATTAAACCAAAAGCTAACTGACCATGAAACTTATCTTCTCTTGTAGCAATATGGGGATATCAGAAATCTATATACTGCATGCAAGCATCGGGGCTTCGTGATGATATCTTACTATGATATCCGAGCAGCTCGAACTGCAATGCGTGCATTACAAAATAAGCCCTTAAGACGAAGAAAACTTGATATTCATTTTTCAATTCCTAAGGTTTGAATTAAGTCTTCTGCTCTTATATGTAATTTGAGGTTTTTTATTACATTAACATCTACATCTACATCTACATCTATGTCTACGTCTACGTCTACGTCTACGTCTATGTCAACTGTTTTATTCCTCACTGCTTTCCAGGATAACCCATCAGAAAAGGATATTAACCAAGGAACTCTTGTCGTGTTCAATTTGGATGCATCAGTATCAAATGATGACCTTCGTCAAATATTTGGTACTTATGGGGAGGTCAAAGAGGTATAGTCTTGCTTTCTCTAAATTCTTCTTCCCCTGTCCCCAAAGTCAATCCTGTGTGTATACCTCTCTGGCTTTTTCAATAACCTATGTGAGTTGTGGACTTCTGGTTACAAATTGCAGATCAGGGAAACACCACACAAGCGACATCACAAGTTCATTGAATTTTATGATGTTAGAGCTGCAGAGGCAGCTCTCAAAGCTTTAAATAGGAGTGACATAGCTGGGAAACGCATAAAGCTTGAACCTAGCCGACCTGGTGGAGCCCGTCGAAAGTATGTATTGATATATTCTTCTTCTATTTGTATCATGGCTGTTCAATTGTGGCACTCTTGTTGGCATGCAGTTTTTATTTTATTTTTTATTTTTTTATTGCAGGTTACATAGTTATTCTTTTACCAGCTAAATATTTTAGCGAACAGTTTTCATTTTTAGTGTAACTGCTGTCTTCTACTCATTGAATCTTTGGAGAATGTATTTTGCTTTTACTGAACATTCTATAGTGCTGGATCATGTTTTCTTTCACTTTTTATGTTCTATATAATGGATTTCTTAAAAGTAATTCTTTAAATGAATAGAGAAATGAAATGAATTGCTTGTACCTTCTATGTTCAGCTTGATGCAGCAATTGACCCAGGAACTGGAACAGGATGAAGCTCGAAGTTTTCGACATCCAGTAGGCTCACCAGTAAACAACTCTCCTCCAGGTAAACATCACTTGATATTTTACATTTGTGTGAGAGCATGACTGTATGGGTCATTCAGATTTATTGCATCTATCTTATTGAATGAGCTCATGCTTCTGTCTTTGTCATCAATGGATTTTCTAGAAAGTTAAGTAAGTGGAACATTTATGACAGGCAACTGGCCACATTTCGGCAGCCCAGTTGAACACAATCCTTTGCAAGGTTTTAGTCAATCACCAGTCTTGGGACCACTCAGTCCGATCAAGAGCAACCATATGCCAGGTTTAGCCTCTATTCTATCACCCCATGTTTCAAACCCTGCAAAGATCGCACCAATTGGTAAGGATCAGGGAAGGATTAGCCATGTGAGTCAGGTAATCGGCAATGTCAATTCAACACAAGGAGTGGGCTATCAGCTTTCTCATTCCTTTCCCGAGCAAAAATTAAGTGCAAGTCCTGGACCGATGTCTTCTTTTGGTGAATCAAATTCTAATTCTTCTGGAATTGGAACTCTGTCTGGTCCTCAGTTTCTTTGGGGAAATCCTACTCCTTACTCAGAGCACACCAGTTCTTCTGCCTGGCCAACATCATCAGTGGGTAATCCATTTGCACCGAGTACACAGGGACAAGGTTACCCATACTCCAATCAGCATGGCTCGTTCCTTGGTTCGCATCACCTCCATCATGTGGGATCTGCTCCATCGGGTGTTCCCCTTGATAGGCATTTTGGATACTTCCCAGAGTCACCGGAGACATCATTTATGAACCATGTTGCATTTGGGGGTATGGGTTTAAATCGCAAAACTGCAAGTTATGTGATGAATATGGGTGCTCGTCCAGCGATGAGTGTCGGTGTTGCTCTCCCGGGAAACATGTCCGAAAGTGGTTCACCCAGTTCAAGAATGATGTCATTGCCAAGGAATGGTCCTTTGTTTTTCGGCAATGGTACACTTCAAGGAATTGGAGTGACCATCAATGAGGGATTGCTTGAACGTGGTCGAAGTAGGAGAGTAGAGTACAGTGTCAACCAGATAGATAGCAAGAAGCAGTATCAGCTTGATTTGGATAAGATCAAGAGTGGTGAAGATACCAGGACTACTTTAATGATAAAAAACATCCCCAATAAGTAAGAAAAATCTATTTTTATTGTTTGTTATAATTGTCATTATTATTATTTGTTATAACTGTGTATCCTGTGAATGATTTCAATTTAGGTTGCCGATTTTGTTGGTGGTTTATGCTTCTTTTGTCTTTCCTTTAGGTACACTTCAAAGATGTTGCTGGCAGCTATTGATGAAAATCATGGGGGTACTTATGACTTTCTCTATTTGCCGATTGATTTTAAGGTAATTCTATTGGGGATGTTGGATGCATTGTTTGATAATTCCTACTTCAATCGAGAACTAATTTGTCTGTGCTCTGGTTGCAGAATAAATGCAATGTGGGTTACGCTTTCATAAATATGGTGTTTCCATCACACATTATCCCCTTCTATGAGGTTTATTTCTCTATCCTTCCTTGTAATCTTGGAAATTATCAATGCACTCAGTCTATTGATTGATTTACTTATATATTTAAATAAGTTACCCATGGTAAAACTGGCATTCACGGTCTGAACCTGGGGAGAAATCTTTCTTCATAAATACGAGATATTTGTTACTGATCTAAAAAAGACCTTATACCTAACCGGTTACCTTTGGAAAGGCTCTAAAACAGGCCTATAGGTTTGCCTTTATGATAGAAGAAGTATAATTAGATAGAAGTATATAGAGAGTAAGCTCTTTTTTTTTTTTTTTTCTTTTTTAAAATTTTTATTTATAAATTTGAAAATAAGAGAGTAAGCTAATGGTCTGTAAGTCTTTTAAAGTGTTGGAAATACTTATCCATATAAGTTGTGCAGGCATTCAATGGTAAGAAGTGGGAAAAGTTTAACAGTGAAAAAGTTGCTTCCTTGGCATATGCACGAATTCAAGGCAAGGCAGCCCTTGTCACACACTTTCAGAATTCTAGCTTAATGAATGAAGATAAGCGGTGCCGGCCAATTCTATTCCAATCAGAGGGCCAAGAGACTGTTGATCAGGTAATTAAGTTGTTTGCTTCCCATTCCTTTGTTATCATGACACCCTATAGCTTCACCATTCTCAGTTTTTACCTGGTCCACTTTAATCAGTATGTCTTTCTTGTTCCATACGTGTCATGTTTCTTCTACTTTTTTTTTATCATTGCCTTTTTGAACTTTTGTGTTTGGAAGCAAGTTCTTTGGTAAAATGACCTCTGATGTCCATTTCATTGGCTTTTTATGTGGAAAACAATTCCACTTTCCTCTTTAATGTTTTTTTTTTCTTGATTTTCTTTCTTTCTTTTTCGTTCTGAACACTAACTAAATCAAATCATTTGCTGACATACTACTGTGGGGCATTTTTGGATTATTCAGGAACCATTTCTGTCCAGCAACTTGAACATCTGTATTCGGCAGCCAGATGGGTCCTACATTGGGGATTCACTAGAGAGCCCAAAGGGTAATATGGATGATGAGATGTAAGAGAACAAATAAGCATGACCTTAATTGATGGCTACGAGTGCTAACAAAGTGCATAGTTGCTTTAGTGTGTATAAACTTACTAGAGAGGAACTGGGGTGTGCGTGCATATGATTGCTTGTATTATAGGCAGCGTCCGCTTTTTGGGTGGTGGATATGGATATTACAAGTATTTCACAATAGAGCTGTGAACGGAAGAGAGAGACAAAGGAGCATTTTGTTTTAAGTAGAGCAACAAATGGATATAATTTAACTAGAGGGGAGAAGAATAAGGTTTAGCGTATTGCTGATAGGCGAAGAAGTTTTATCCGCTGCCAATTGTGATGCGCTCACCGCTTTGTTTATGAAATTCTCTCCTTTTTTCTTTTTAATTTTTTTAAATTGTTTTTAGGGGTGTATGATTATGTGAAAATATGAGTACATGGTTATTGGGGTAAATATGCAAGGGAGTTGAGAATATATATATAGAGCGAGAGTTGGGGCTGTTTTCAGAAGTGTATAGAATGGAAGACAAACAGACCCCCCTGGTCCTTTCACTACTTGTGCAGTGTTGTTGTTGTTGACTTCTTGTTATGTACCTAAAGAAAATTGTGCAACTCTATTTGATATGTCGTTGTACAGATGTTTAAGCATCAACTCAATCTCTCTCTCTCTCTCTCTCTCTCTCTCTGTTCCTGCATCTTTCAGTTTGATTGATCTGCTAAACAATTCTGCTTTGTGGAGTTTTACTCAGGCCTGTTCGGGGATTTATTTTTTTAGCCAATTAGTTAAAAAGTTATTAAATTAGTCAAAAAGTCAACAATTCATACCAAAAAGTCAAAGATTCTCTTTTCTCTCTATTTTTTGCACATCTTTTCGTAATTAGTCAAAAAGTCATCTCAAACATACAAGTTTTTTTTACCTATCTTTTTAATCAAATAGTCAAAAAGTTACTAAATTAGTATGTTCCCAAACGAGGCCTCAAGAATTACTTTAGCCATTATGGGATTGTTTAAGATGGTCCAAATAAGTGTATTTATTTGGGTCATATTACTTCTCTATTTATTTTACATATTTTTTTCATAAAAAATCAAAAAGCGTACTAAATAAGCAAATTCTAAACAATCCCTATCATTAATATTAAAAAAAAAAAAACATGTGGCAGAGCAGACCCCATGTATTAAAAGACACATGACTATTTTTATAAAAAAATTAAATAATCAACTAAAATATCATATTTCCACACGGTTACAGATTTACACCATGGTCCAATTGATCTGTTTGAATCATTACATTTGAAGAGGATGAGCAATTAATGGATTTTCTTTTCTTTTCGTTTATAATTTTTTTATAAAGGTTTTTACATATATGATATGATATGTATATATAAGTATATAGAGTAAGTGGGCATTAAATAATTTGATTATTTAAAAGTGGATAAATAAGTAAAAGTAATTCGGCCATTTTTCATTAAAGAAAAAGGGTAAATTGTAATGGTGTGGGTCATTTTGTTATGCATTTCTAAATTAATAGATATTGATGTAATAATATTAAATTTGTAGATTAATTGTAATTTTTTCATTTCTCGTGGGAGGTAAGTGTAATTTGCCTAATTATATTTTGTGCATTGCAAAACTAATTAGTGTCATCAAAATTTTGTGAAGGCCATTTTTAACCATGTGTAGTTCAACTGCATCCTCTAATATAATTTTTTCATTACTCGTGGGAGGTAAGTGTAATTTGCCTAATTATATTTTGTGCATTGCAAAACTAATTAGTGTCATCAAAATTTTGTGAAGGCCATTTTTAACCATGCATAGTACAACTGCATCCTCTAATCAACATTTAAATTAGGGATACTTTCCTAGAAGAGAGAGATGGAAAAAAAAGAAAAAGAAAAAAAGAAAAGAGAATAGGACAAAGAAAGCCACATCAATAATTGATAAAACTCAAACTTAAAGATCACATATGATAAGAGAGTACTTTATTCAATAAAATAACCCTTAATTTTAACATTTTGATTGTTATGAATTTACATCAGACGCGTTCACTATTTTGAAATATAACTATAAGTCTAACTCATTTTGATTTGATTAATGCTAGCCTTTACCACAATCGAGCGAGTCCAATTTTATTTACATATTTGACAAAATGTGTAAATAAAATACATATTTTGATTGATTAAAAATTATAGAATTAATATAAGTGCATATAAAAACAATAATATACTTTGGACATTTTAGATATAAGATTTATAATTTTAATCCAATAAAACTATATGTATTGTTCACATATTCTATCAGTCTCTCAATAAACTTGGCAGTCAAACATTTTTATGTTTTCATGCAAATCCTATGGCATATATGCTTAATTAAGGAACATTCACATCAAATGATTGCATGTTCACCAACCCATTAACGATAAAATGCATGATCTTAACAGCCACAACATGAATCCAAAACCTAACCAAAAAAAAAAAAAATAAATAAATACAAAACACAAAAACAAATTTATCAAGGACTCCTTTTTGGATATTCAAAAAATCAGCCATATTTTACATGGGGGCTATAGCTAAGCCAACTCCAACTGGCATTGAAAGATGGGATTGTATTGATAAATAGCAAACAAAAAAGTCTAAAAATTCTTGGTGAAATGCTGTTGAGATCTCAACAAACCATTGTTTTGCCTCACATGGAAATTTTATTTAATAATTTTTATGTCCCGCCCCACCATTCAAATGAATCCCATAAATAATAATTTAATAATTTTTATTTTTATTTTTTTATGGATTTGTGAATGCAAATTTATATTTAGGGATGGTTTTGCTTTATTTTTGTATTCGTTTTGTTTTGTTTTTGTTATTAGCCTATTTTGCATGAAGACGTGTTAATTTTTGCCTAGTCTATTAAGTTAAGACATACTATTTCGTTTTTAGTTTGGATCTCGCTTATTTGAAGTTGTGTTGATTTTTTAGATCGTATCTTCAGTATTGTAATATCTCTTCTATTTTTTGTTTTTGTTTTTGTTTTGTATATATATATATATATGTATAAAACTAACCCCTTATTTATTATTTATTATTTATTATTTTGTATATAATAACAATTAAGGATAATCTGTGAGACATGTGCATTGATATGAAACAAATTCTGATTATCAGATTAACCTTTTAAAAACTTTTATTTAGGTCGCGTTTAGATTATGAATTTAAAGTCACAGTCTTAATGGATCAAATAAGTAGAAATTTGAAAAGAAAAATGAAAAATCATATTTGTGTAGGACTAATTATATTCGTTAAGTGTAAATCTACCACATAAGGTAGTAAATAAGTGTGGCAAAAAATTACTATAATTATTGAACCTTATAGCATGTTTTAACCCTTTTTTTAATTTTTTTTTTTTTTTTTAAGATAGAAGCATGTTTTAACTTTGAATAATATTAGGATGACTAAATTTTTTGCCAGTACTTACCATCTAATATGTGTACATTGATTTAACGAATTTTATCCACTCATAATTATTAGGATAAATTACAAATACATCCCCTAAATTTTGTTTAAAATACGAATTGTCTTTTGTAATTTTGAAAATTACATCTCACCCCTTGACAATTCGAATTTCATAAATTAACCATTTTTATTAATAAATCATTAAGTCAATTAATAATTTTTAATGATATCAGAAATTTATTTTAATTAATAATTTAAGTAACTTTATTATTATATAGAAAAACAGTTAAAAATTTTATTTTTTAATTAATTTGTTAAATAAAATATTCTAATAAAAAGATATTTATAATTTTTCAAATTACAGAAGGCAATTTGTATTTTATGCCAATCAATGCATTTGTAATTTACCCTAATTATTATCAATACAGTGGCCATACATGACATGGTAAATAAAATGTAATAATTTTTTTTTAACTGTTAACCAAATGAAGTCAACAGTGGGTAGTTGTAAATTAATTTGTAGTGATAGGATTTTGACCCGTTGGTTTTTCAAAGAATTAAATTAGAGGATATAAAAATACGAAGTCAACTGATCAGATGGTTGAAGTAGATGATCAACTTCTAGTCTGAATGCACCTTCATAGTGCTGAAAATCAATTCAACCGCATTTATGGCCTGGTGCTTATCTATCTTCAGACTGTTGCTAAACAGTAATGCCATGAGGTGTCCTTAAACATTCGCACACAATCGAATACAACCACTACTGTATAAAAATGATTTAGACCTCTAAAAAAAGATTTCTAATAGAACTTTAATTTATCTTTTTCTTTTCTCTTTTTTTTTTTTTTGCTGGACAGCTCATTAGAGCTGTACTGCAGAAATTCTAATTAGAGCTCTGCAGCAACTCCGATACATACATAAATAGAAAATAGAACAAATTTCAAAAGAAAAATCATTTAGAGCTACTATATATTTTAAAAATACGAAAATTGATTACATAATTAGACCAACCTTCTCAAATAAGGTGGATCTTACTCTTTTTTTACCTTTTTTTTTTTTTTTTTTAAATCCCACACTCATGTAAAAAAGATAATATTTGGTTGGTTTACGTGGAAATAGAATTATTACATTTTACCCATTTTCTTTATTATTTTATATTATTAGAAAAAATGATTAAATATTTTTTATTTTCTTAAATTGTATTTGAATTAAGGATTTGAGTTAAAATTTATGGAGTGAAAGAAAAAGAGAAGAAAAAAATATTAAATTTATATGAGTAATGATATATAAATAAAAAAGTCATACATAATTTTCATATATAATGATGTGACTCAATAGATACCTTTTATTTTAAAACAAAACATCCATAAAGATGACTTTATTTGAAGAATGACATTATTACATAATTCTTGTAAAGGTTTTCCTATGAATTTTATGTAAGAAAAGTATTCTCCAATTGATATTTCATTCCTTTCATTAAAAAAAAAAAAATCTTATTTTTATTTCCTAACAAGTCTATCAAATCTTTGATCGAAGCTTGAATTTAATATTTATTTGCAAAGAAAGAGTCACTCATAACTCATTATTTTCAAACAAAGAACCATTCATAGATTTGTCAAACGAAAAACATTTGTCAAACAAAAACCAGAAACTACGAAGGATGGTCACCAACACACCAACCTACTCTGTGTTGTTAACCGAATAGGGAAAAAAAATATAACCCTCCTCTAGAGTACACCTGCCTACCTAGAAACAAAAAATTCAAAAAAATAAAAATAAAATAAAATAAATAAAAAATGTCGAATGTGCAGTTAATGCTAGCGGTGTGGCTAACCAACACAAATTCCATGGTCAACTCCCTCCTACACCCTTTTAATTACTCCTATAAATTCCCTCTGCATCCCTTCCTCTTCTCTTCAACCCCTCTCATCTCATTTACTCTGTTTCTCTCTCTCTCATTCATTTCCTTTGTCAACCCATTTGAGCATATTGATTGACAGTGCCACAGAAAAAAAAGAAGCTATGGTGTTTCCCACAGAACTTGTGAAGCTAGCAGACTGGCTCTTGTACCAGCTATTAGCCAACTCATGTTACAGAGCTTTAGGGAAGATGAGAAAGTACTATGGCTTATTTTTAAGAAACCTAAACCCAAATCCAAACCCATCTCTTAAATCATCATCATCATCTTCAACACAACCTTCTTTGTATCCAAGTGTCACCAAGTGTGGTTTGGAGGGTAGGGAGTCCCAAACATTGGTTTGTAACATTCATGCAACCTTGCTAAGAACTCAATCCTTCTTCCCTTACTTCATGCTTATTGCCTTTGAAGGTGGTAGCATTTTCAGGGCATTTTTCTTGCTCTTATCATGGCCTATCTTGTTGGTTTTGCACTATGACCTCCAATTAAGGGCAATGATTTTCATTACCTTTTGTGGGCTTAGGGTGAGAGACATGGAGGATGTTGGGAGGGCTGTTTTGCCTAAGTTTTATCTCGAAAACCTCAACCTTAAGGTCTATGAGGTGTTGGCTTCAACAGAGTCTAGGGTTGTCTTCACAAGTGTACCTAGAGTCATGGTTGAAGGTTTTCTCAAGGAATATTTGAGTGTTGGCGATGTTGTAGGGACTGAATTGCAAACTGTTGGGAACTACTTTACAGGTTTGATATCTGGTTCTGGTTTGCTTGTAAAGCACATAGCTCTTAAGGAATTCTTTGGAGAAAACAAGCCTGACATTGGCCTTGGAAGTTCAAGCCCTGATGATCAACTCTTTATATCCCCTTGCAAGGTATATATTTCTCTCTTCAGCAATGATATTAAACTTAAAAATTATACATAAAATCTATATAAATTGATATGTCATATATATATATATCAATTTATTTGAAACCAAAAGACCCATAAAGGTGACTTAGCCTTCGTTTCGCAATGACTTTTTTAGTTAATTTTTTGGTGTTTTTTGACTTTTATAGTCTGAGACTTTTTTGTTCATTTGGTATTCTTGATTGGTTTTTTTGGCTTTTTAGCTTTTGAATGGTGGATTTTTTTTTTTGTCATTTTGTAATTTTTGACTTTTTGTGATTTTTTGACCTTTTTTTTTTTATTCTTTTGTGATTATTTAGCCCAACTCAAAAACCAAACAACACGTTATTGTTGCAATATTGTCATTCACACATTATTTTGACATAGATTTTTGTACAAAAATTGTTTACATATCATTTTTCATATTTTTTCTGAAAAAATTGTTCTTATTTAAACTTTTATAAGAGATGACAGTTTTATAATTTATTTACATCTTCAGATGAATTTTTTATTTTAAATTGATAAGCTTACAATGTAGTCCCAATTATTCTATACAAATAATTTATAGGATAATTTTTTTTGGATTGTACAGGATCATTTCTCTTACCACTGTCATTGCTACCTTGGAGGCTAAATAAGGGTTGGTTTGGGAAGTGGGTTGGCTTTTTGGTTTTTTTGGCTATTTTAGCCTGAGCTAAAAGACTTGGTTTGGGAAGGGCTATTTGGCTTTTTGGTTTTTTTGACTTTTTTTGTGAGAGAAGAGTGTAATGATTATGGGTTGGATGTGATGTTTTGTTTGTTGTGGCTAAAATAGCCTATTTTGTCTTTTGTGGTTAAAATAGCCAAAAAAGCCCACAAAACCACTTCCCAAACGGTGCATAAATAACAATTGAGAATTTAATGCAAGGAATGGGCAAAATTGTTTTTGAGTAATATTTAAGGGCCAGTTGGTCTCCGGTTGGAGTTCCAGATTGAACCGTCTAGTTCGGTCTGTGAGTTTATTTTTAGGTTTCTTTTCAATAATCTGAACTGTTTTATGAGTAGAACTCGTTAAATACTATAATCTTGTAAAAATTCACGTTAAGAGGATATCAATGGCTATTTGATCAGATCAATTTTGATCAAAAAAATGAACCGTAAAAAATAAACAATTGACAGAAATTTGATCTGATGAAATAGCTATCGATATCCGATTAATATGATTTTTTTACAGGAATATAATACTCGACGAATTCTACATATTGAACGGTTCGGATTATCGAAAAAGAGGTAAAAAAATAAATCCACAGGCTAGACTCGATGGTCTAATCTTAATTTTCAATTGGAGACCTGCTTTGTCTTATTATTTCTTTTTTAAGGTCAAGTTTGGCTATCCTAAATAAGTACAGACTTTTTATCTTTTTTCCATCACATCATCTCTCTACTTTTTTACATATCTTTTCATAAAAAGACAAAAAATACACTTATTTAAATCATTCCAAACAACCCTTAAATATTGCTCTTTTTTGTGAACGTACACTTGTGTACCCCCACAAGCTTTGGTCACTACCCAAAAGCACAATGGCACATTTTTTGGTTTTGAAAATTTTGTACGAAAAGAACATTGGTTCTGACGATTACTGCACTATTAACACTTTTATACAAAAAAAAGGTTTATAACTGTTTTTATAGGTAAGGTTTATTTATTTATTTTTTTAAAAAAAATGATGAAATTGTGAACTTAACAAAAATCTAATCTTTAAATATAAATTTGAGAGAAATTCAATTCTTAAATTAACAATATTTACATTTTTTTACTATTTTACGTATTGACAATACAATCAACTATAATAATATTTTAGGTGATATATGAGTAACTAAAATTTTAAAAAGTATTAATTTATATGACATTATAAAAAAGGACAATACTATAATGATATAATATAATTTGTTTATTATTTAATGATTTACAAGATCTTATCATGGAATGAAAATGTAGTTGTGACACATAAAATAAAATATAAACAAATAAAGGGAAATTTAGTCAAAACTTTTCCATTAGACACTTATTTGGTGAAAAGAACAGCTTAATTTATTTTGCTTCATAAATTCTATAAGGAGAAAATACATAATTAAGTAATGACAAAGTAAAATATTTTTTTTAGACAATATTATCAGAGTAACATGTTATTGTCATTGTTTACACCAATTTCGACTGTAATATATATATATATATATATATTTAAGAATTTCATAGTCAACATGGATTTTATTTGATAGATCTTGATAAGAGAATTCTAGAATAGACTTTTTTAGTAACTTTTTGATTTTTTGGTTAAAATATGAATTAAAAAAAACTAGTATGTTTGAGATGATTTTTTGATTTTTTACGAAAAAAATATGCAAAAAATAAAAAGAATAGAGAATTTTTGACTTTTTGGTATAAGTTGTTGGCTTTTTAATTTTTTTTTTGTGATTTTTTGGTTTTTAGGCTGAAAAGTAATGTTATCAAATGAGACCTAATTTTATTAAAAACCGACATCTACATTAAAAGTTATGTTAAAGTTTAATATTTTGTTAATAGGGATATGTGTTGAATTTTAAATTTTTTTTTTATACTTATCCTTAATGCATTAAAATTTTATTATGAGGAGTTTTTGATTAAATTTCTCATTAATAAATTGTGATTCACAATTATTATAAGACAAATATTTACATACTTTTAATACGCCACTTCAATTCTTTTAAGGCAAGGTTTTTGGGCTCCTTACATTTTGTCAGAGGAAAATGTTAGAAATTTTAAAAGTTTTATTTAGGTGGTTGTGTTCCCTGCATTTTATTAAAAGAAAATGTTAGAAATTTTAAAAGTTTTATTTAAATTTTTATTAAATATCTTATGTAGATAGGAGATCTGTTTTACCAAAATTACTATTAAATGTTTTATATAAATGTGAAACCTACTCATATGAATCCTATACCTATATAAAACACTTAATAAAACTTTTAATAATATTTTTAGAATCTCTCATTGTGTTAAATATATGAAATGGTAGGTATCTCTAATTAATTACGAGAAGAAAGATAGTGGCTCCACATGGGTGTGGTCCCCATGATTGTAAAAAAAAAAAAAAATTAAAATAGGATAAATTATAAATATATTCCTTTAGTTTTGCTCAAAATATGATTCATTTTTTTTGTAGTTTTAGAAATTATATTTCATCTTTTGAGATTTTTAATTTTGTAATAAATGATCTCTTTTATTAATAAATTATCAAATTAATTAATAATTTTTAATGATATCATAAATATATTTTAATTAATAATTTAAATAATTTTATTATTGTATAAGAAAGTAATTATAGATTTTATTTTTTTAATTAATTTTATTAAATAAAAAATTGTGACAAAGAAATAATTATAATTTTTAAAATTACAAGAATAATTCATATTTTAAAAAAATGGAAGGTGTAATTGTAATATACAGCAAAACTCTTAACTATATGGCTATACGGACACCAGAGGTCGGAGTGGGTTAGTAGGTAGGGAATATGCTTGAGTGACGTAATTCAGTGTATTTTTTTATTTCAAAATAAAATAATCATAAAAATAAATTTATTTATAAAAAAGTTGACATTATTACATTATTCTTACAAAGTTTTTATTTTTTTATTTTTAAATGTATGAATAGATTTTTTAAAAAAATATATATTTGATGTATTTTTGTTTGGCAGGAAGCTTATGTGGTGAACACTGAAGACATGAAAGGTACAACAATGCCAAGGGACAGATATCCAAAGCCTCTTGTCTTTCATGATGGTAGACTAGCTTTCTTGCCCACTCCATTAGCAACTCTCTCCATGTTCTTATGGCTTCCTCCAGCTATATTCCTCTCCATCTTCAGACTCTTTGTGGGTATCTGCTTACCCTACAAAATTGCCATTTTCTTGGGCTCTTTGACTGGTGTCCACATTAGGTTCAAAGGTCTCAACCCGGACTTAGACTCAGACTCAGACTCCAACAAAAAGAAAGGAATCCTTTATGTTTGCACCCATAGAACCCTCTTAGACCCTGTCTTTCTGAGCATGTCACTCCACAAGCCTTTGATTGCGGTCACATACAGCCTAAGCAAAATGTCTGAATTGATATCTCCGATCAAAACGGTGAGGTTGACAAGAGACAGAAAACAAGATGGCGAAACAATGCAGAGACTGCTCAGGGAAGGCGATTTAGTGGTATGCCCTGAAGGAACCACATGTAGAGAGCCATACCTCTTGAGGTTCAGCTCTTTGTTTGCTGAGTTAGCCAATGAGATTGTCCCAGTAGCCATAAACACTCATGTGACCATGTTCTATGGGACTACCGCCAGCGGGCTCAAATGCTTGGACCCAATCTACTTCTTGATGAACCCTAGACCTAGTTACTTCATTCAGATCCTTGGGAAGTTGCCTAAAGAGTTGACCTGTGCTGGTGGGAGATCTAGCTTTGAAGTGGCTAACTATATTCAGAGACAATTGGCTGATGCTTTGGGTTTTGAGTGCACTACACTTACAAGGAAGGACAAGTATATGATGCTAGCTGGTAATGAAGGGGTGGTCCATGATAAGAGAAATAAAAATAAAACCTAATTGACAACACCACTAGCTATCTCTTATCCTTCCCCAATCTTCTTTTGGTAAATTTCCTTTTCAGCATTTATATTTTTTGTATTGAATATGTGTATGTAGTATTTGGACTTTTTTTTTGAAGGTTATTTCTTACTTCTCACTTGTGGGTATGGGTTATATATGTATCTATGGCAATTGTTGTTGCTAACATAATATGTGAGGAGATTTTGAGCATTTTGACATAAGGTTATCAGCCCATCTCTTTATTGTTGAAAAGCTCATCATTATTAATTTGAAATAATATAAAAACGCTCTACACTAACCAAATTAATGAACAAAGATCACTTGTTCATTTTTATGTCCCATTTTGTGTCTTTTTATATTTTATCTGCCCACATAGTTTTCATGTCAACAAAAGTGATTCTGTGAACAATTGGAAAAATTATAAAGTTATCTTGCGGTATTACTTGTCAATATTTTCACCAATCACCACCAAATGACATACTTTTATACTGTGTTTGGTTGGAGGATTTGAGGAGGGATTTAGAAAGAAAAATAAAAAAAATAGGTAAAATGTGAGTAAAACATACCTATATTTTACCTAGTTTCACACATTTTTTTCCTTTCCCTTTTCAAATCCCTTTCCAAATCCTCCAACCAAACACAACGTTACTGTTCCCTATTAACTAACACCAATCATCTAATACCAAATTATGAATCTTACTTCCTTCATCAATCACAACACAATTGAGACATCATATTACAAAACCACCAAATAATTTTTCAAAGGTACAGATGATTTGAATTCTCTATTAGTTGTCTTTGCAAGTTGACTGACGTGGCAATATGATCCAAATGGGCCCACTAAACATAGAAAGGTAAGGAAACAATAACGTTCACACAACCAGAATTCCTTCCGAGAGAGCATGCAAAGGAAAATGTTTCTACACAAGAGGGCTCCATGATCTCCATTGATATATCACTACAAGAATTTACACATTTTGTGATCACTTTTACCGATTAAAAAAATTTTGGTCACAAAAAAATAACATTTGGCGACCAAATATCAATTAGTCGCGAATGATCATTAATTTTGGCGACCAAATATTATTGGTTGCAGAAGGTTATATTTTGACGACTAAAAAATGAGTTGGTCGCAAAAAGTGGCATGCTTTTGCCAACCAACTACAAATTTGGTCGCGGAAGGTCACATATTTTTTGGCGACCAAAAATTTGGTCGCCAAAAACTTATTTTCAGCAACAAAAAAAAATTAGTCGCCAAATTATATTTTTAGCGACTAATATTTTAGTCGCCGTTGATTGAGATTTGGCGACAAAAAAATTTTGTCGGCGAAGGTACATTTTCTGCGACCAATATTGTCTTTTGGTCGCCAAAAGTTTGGGAGGGAAATTTGAAACATGGAGGGGGAAAATGAAAATTTTTTGCGACAAAAAAAAAAATTGGTCGCCATTTATAAAACGACGTCGTTTTGGGCCAGGAAAATAGAAAAAGAAAATAAAAAAATGCCCGTCTCTCCTCTGTGTCTCCAGCTCGCTCTCTATCTCTCCATATGTTGATCCACCCTCTCCCTCTCTGTATTCTCTCTCTCAATCTTGTACAAATTTGTATATGAACTTGTTGTTCAGTTCTTCCCGAGTCTGCAATGGTTTCTCTTGTCCAGAAACTACTTACAAAGCAATCTGTCAAATATATTATCCCTACTTTTAATAAACTACATCCCTCAAATCTCATACCTCCTCTCTTCACTCTTCCCTATCTCACCGAACCCAAACCACTCCATCCCCACAACCACAATGTAAATCTCGATTCGGATTCGGTTTCGGATTCGGATTCGGTTTCTTCTCTTTCGACCCCGATCTTTCCAAGCTTTCCATTTGGGTTTTCTCTAAACCCTATTTCTTTAACTGGGTTTGTGCCTTTCGTGGCTAGCGACACTCCGATGATGATCTGGGCTAATAGCGTGAAGAAGAAGAAAATGAGAAAGAGGAAGATGAACAAGCACAAGTAGTGGAAGCTTAGGAAGCGTCTCAGCAAACAGACTTAGCTTCATTTTGGTGAGAATATCAAATGTTTTCTGAATTTCGGTGATGCGTTTAATCTTGTTTGTTTATTGTTCTGATTAACCTAGGGTTTCACATTTTTAAAATTTCTTCGGTTTTACTCTGAAGAATCAATGAATTTAGTAATTTACTCATCGAAGTTTTATTCTTCATGTTTGTTGAACTCCCCTTGATTTGTTGAGCATATCCATTGCATTTTTGTCTATTTTGATAAATATATTTTAACATGCTTCTGTTTTGTCTATCATCGAAGCTAAAGTTTTGTGTGTATAGAGACCTAGCAACTAGATGTGACAACTAAATTTGATTTGCCCTTATAGAAGATTGATTTTGCAGGCTGGACTCCCCTAAATTTAATTTTTACTTCCTAATTTCCCTTCTTTAAGAGTTCATTTATGGTGTGTTGCTTCTGTAAATAAACAAGATTTTTTAAAAACATTTCTTGTTAATTTCTTTGTTTTTTTTCGGGTGATTAGCAAGGTACACAATTTCTTTTATTTTAATTGAAAAAACTGAAAATTTTGTATTCCTAGGACATTGTAATTAGGTACTAGTGGAAAAATGAAATTTTTATTGTTTTGATATAATTTTACTGTTGTCATGGAAAGACATCAAAACATAGCAAAATACTCCAAAACATACTGAAGCAACAACTTGTGTCTACTCAAATCTAGTATCTCATAAATTTATTTTTGTTCTTCTATTTATTTTAAGGGAAAAAATGATAGAAGACCTTATGATTGTCGTCAATATCAGTATGATGTTGGGATATATGCACCTGTAGAATGATTTTGTTACAAGTTTTAGAATCATATAAATTTATATGCGCCTTTAGAATCATATAAATTTTCTTTCAATTAAATTGATTTATTTGATATTACTCATGAAATTTTGCTCGCGTCAACATTTACTTTTTGATTCTACACCTTTGCCTTTGTATCTATGAATGTAATGGTAGATGGTCCTATCCAGTGCACAAAGCTCCTGTTTACATTTGGGTCTGAGGGATGGTAAATAGATTTCCCCCCACCTTTGCCTTTGTATCTACGAATGTTTCCATCCATTTCCAAGTTCCTTTTTTCGTTTCTTTCTATAGTCTTTTTGAAACATTAATGTTTCCATGCATACTGACATGACACTACAAATTTCTTAGAAACTGAGCATTTTAATGGACTATTTTAAACACTTGTCTGAGTTTCAAAAAATTCGTTTCATGAAAACATCGAAAACAATAAAGTTTTTATAACTGATTGTATTCTGTTCTGATTGTAATTGTTGCTTTATTCTTGCCATCACTACGCAATTGCGTATTATTTTTTTAATCTTATTATTTTATTAATCATCTTTGTTGAAATTAGCTGCTACTGCTTCTTCTTCTTTTTATTATTTTTTATTTTTATAAGTAATGATGAAATGGATATCTGTTGTGGTGGATGATTGGTGTTTGTTGTAATCTTGCAGCGGGTATGGTGGCTGCATAACATTATTCTGCATGATGAAGTTGACGACTGACTGAAGGTCTGACAACTTGTTCGCCAGTTCTTTTACTTCCTCATCCCTCCGTAGGCACCTGTCCCTCCATACCTAGAGGTTATCTTCATTGTAGTACTTTCCTTGGTTTGCTCTTTTTGACGTGTCGCCTTCTGGGATGACTTCGTTCTCTCTGTGACCCTGGTCACGGGCTTCTGCATTGTGATTATCTCCTTTGATGTCAAGGTCAATTGGTCTGCCACTCCCAGTGGGAGCATCATCCCCAATATTTTCCTGCTGTCCGTCACTGGCCATCTATTCTTCCTTCGTTCCCACAGACGGCGCCAAATTGTGTGGGTGAAAATCTGACCACACCGCCCGTTTAGTGATCAGCTGGAGAGCACAGGCAGAATAGATGGCTTAGGCAACCTGAAACAGAAAGAAAAAGCTCCGGCGGTGGTTCTTCCACCCGGGGCACTCCGACGATCAAGTCAGTATATCTCTCAAAGATAATCAAATACTAAACTGAATACTCAAAACATAAATTGCATACCTTAGACCCAAGGGGGTGCCTCTCTTTTATAATATACTCAATCCAAGTCCCACTAGAAGTATGACTTCTATGAACTCTAATTTACTGTTTACTCTGGACTCTTTAAGAGATAAAGATAAACTCCCTAAGAGCTTTATCCTTATCTTGGTTAAGTCCCATCTTTGCCTTAGGACTCTTGCCCCTTATCTCGGATTCCGATATCTTTGGAGATGACCTCGGCTTCTCCGAGATTACCTCGGCTTAACTAGCAGGGCACGTGGCACCTCGGCTGACACGTCGGCGTCACCATGCCACGTGTTGGTATTCAGAAAATATATCCCCACAAGTTCCATTTGAATATCAATACTAATTCCATCCTTGATCATCATGTTCAAACCCTTTCAGGTTATATCCATATCTATTTATCTAAAATGAGCTACTTGATTGATATCTTAGAATTGAGTTTGTATTTTGTAATATTGTTAATAAATAATTGGACAAGATTTTTTTCTCCTCCTTCATGGATTCACACAGCAAGCATCGCGTGTGTTCATGTAGGTCCCATCTTTTCCAAAAATAATGGTGGTCTCATTATTTTCTGAATATAGTGGGTCCTACATGTGCACATGGTGTTTGGATTTGGAATGAATTATTGCATTTTGGTCCATTATTAACAAATAAATAGATGAAGTATTGCATTTTGGAATGAATTATGGTGCCGGACACTACAATCTTCCCAAAATCTACACCCTGGCCTATTAGGGATCTTCGATAAAATATTGCTATGTATTTGTGATTTTAGTAGCTTGTGTATGGAAAAAATTTCAGGCCTTGCATGTTATCCTACTGGGTATGATATGATTTGGGTACTTACTTTCTAGGTTAGCTTTACTCTATAATTAACCCAAATAAAAAAATGATTTCGCAATTGAGCTCTCTATCTGTGGTTCCCTCTCGTCTTTTTCTTCTCATTGCTTTCATTTTTCTGCTCTCTTTTCTCTTTCTATATGTGCATGTGAAAAGGAAAATTCCTTTAAAAAACTTTTTCTTTCCATACAATTAATGTCCTTTTGAGCCCCATGGTTTGTTTTCCTTTGGGGAATCTTTTTGTGCTATGTTCTGTTTCTGTACTTTGAAGTTTGAATAAAAATCTGAATGACATTGAGGAATCCCTGTCTTATTGTGAAAGAGTCTTGCATAAATCACACCGGAGTGCTACTTTGTAGAATTGCTAAAGCCAACATGTGTTTTTTATTTTAAATTGTGGTGAAGTTCCAGATTTCTTTTTGAAGATACACAGAATAAATGTGTACTTTGCAGTTGATGCATGTAAACATAACTGAAATGCACTTTCTAATTTCAATTTTGTTTATTAGTTGTGTGTTAAAATTAGTTTTGTATGCTTTTGTTTGTGTGTTTTCTATATATATATATATATATTTAAAAATTTATTGTTGTTAATTTCATATATGGTTGACAGTTTATAACAGACTAGCTAGACACACATTCGTAAGGATGCACCTTGGTCTAGAAAGAAATAGAAGATTGTAGTTGGATTTACAAAGGGATGTCAGTAGAAATTGAATCTCCCTATATATGTTTTGATGTGTGCATATATATGTTTTTCACAAATGCATCAACATATTAGGCCAATATAGGAATTTTGGCCATAATTGATGATGTTATATTAAACTAGGTTTCTTTCATTGAATAGCAGAGCTGTTTCTATATTATGGTTGTTACGACTTTCATTTACTTCAATGGTATCTCAATGATTTTACTTTACCTGAGGATGCTGCTTGAAAAAGCTAGATTCATTGATGGCATCTAATTACAGTTTGATCATTGTGTTACTGTATTTAGTTCTATTCTTCTATAAGATTGTTCTAGAATTTTAAGAGAAATACTTTTGATTAAAGAAATGCTTAATTTGATTTCATATTTATTCTCGCAGATCCTCGTGACGATCTCAACGAGATGGATGTAGCAAGAAAGGTTTGTATTTTTTTTCCAGGAATTTGTTGACCCCTGCCCTCCTTCTATAAAATCACCTGCATTTAGCTGAGGTGAAACTAATTTCAAGAAAGTATTCTGTTTGAGGATACATCATAAACATATTGCGGAAGGCTTAGTTCTATTATTAACTTTAATGTTTTACTTGTGTAATGTGACACCTAGTGTGTTGTACAGATTGGAAGAATTTGATTAGTGACAAGTGTGCAGCAACTGTTATACTACTCAATTTGGTGTAGTTCTGGCTTATAAACAAAAATTATGGTTTGACTGGCATTCAAGCAACTGAGGATGATATAGATATCAGATATTATCTCATTTAACCAATGGATAAATGAGATAAATATAATATATATCTGATATATGGTTATGGGTAACCAATATAGAAAACAACGTATGTTTTGTTTCTACCCATGATACTGACTCTCTCCCAAAAATAACGATCAAAGTCATTTGCACTGTGGTTTGTGTGGGTGATATTCACCAATGTAATATCACCCCACTGCTGGGATTGATTGATTGAGTATGGAAGCACGTGATTTATCCATGAGGTTCTATCATCGAAAGGTATGATATGATTATTTTATCCGCTGCGTAATTGTTTGTTTTTTATTTACAATGTTTTTCACAAATGCATCAACGTATTAGGCCAATATAGGAATTTTGGCCATAATTGATGATGTTATATTAAACTAGGTTTGTTTCATTGAATAGCAGAGCTGTTTCTATACTATGGTTGTTAACGACTTTCATTTACTCCAATGGTATCGTAATGATTTTACTTTACCTGCGGATGCTGCTTGAAAAAGCTAGATTCATTGATGGCATCTAATTACAGTTTGATCATTGTGTTACTGTATTTAGTTCTATTCTTCTGTAAGATTGTTCTAGAATTTTAAGAGAAATACTTTTGATTAAAGAAATGCTTAATTTGATTTCATATTTACTCTCCTAGATCCTCGTGACGATCTCAACGGGATGGATGTAGCAAGAAAGGTTTGTATTTTTTTTCCAGGAATTTGTTGACCCCTGCCCTCCTTCCATAAAATCACCTGCATTTAGCTGAGGTGAAACTAATTTCAAGAAAGTATTCTGTTTGAGGATACATCATAAACATATTGTTACTAAATGGTACACATTTGCGGAAGGCTTAGTTCTATTATTAACTTTAATGTTTTACTTGTGTAATGTGACACCTAGTGTGTTGTACAGATTGGAAGAATTTGATTAGTGACAAGTGTGCAGCAACTGTTATACTACTCAATTTGGAGTAGTTCTGGCTTATAAACAAAAATTATGGTTTGACTGGCATTCTAGCAACTGAGATCTCCTACTTGTTTCCTGTTCGACTTGTGCAAAATATGAAGCAATCTCAATATTGTTCAGAGTGATGATATCCTTGAAGTAGTTGATTTGCAAGTTTAAAAAATCTAGTAGTTCTTGTTCAATGGGCAATCCTCTAACTTCAAAACTAATTCAAATTATTATTTTTATCCTCTTCTGATGAAACCTTGTCACTGATGAAGTAGATAATACAAAACACTACGTAGTTTTATTTGAGATAGTTTTAAGATATGTTGCAATATGTCATGTATTGATCACTAGTTTTTCTAGTTGAAGACAGGCTTTGATCCTTGCTCGACTTCTTGGTCAGCAGATTGACTTGGACAACATAAAGGTTTGGACATTGAGATGATATACTTGTATATCTCCACTTTCAAATCAAGTATGACCAGATTTATATGTAGTTTCTACTAATCTTGTAGGTTGAAAGCTTGTATCCCGAAGAAATGGGACCAAATATAATGCATGTTGAAGATTTTTTGGTGAATGGCCTTCCACTGCTTGATAAAGGCATCCAAGAGAAGGTTGAAAGGGCTTCTTCAAATGGCAATGTGCTCCGTTATGTTTGCGTGATTGAGGACTCAAGGTACTTTATATTTCTGTTTCAATCAAGTCTTGGAAGTTTGCTATATTTTCAAACACATATTTGTGTTCATTCAGCAGAGCAGCAGCCATGTGGGTAGATGAGCAAGATGGGGAAGCAATTGAGCTTGCCTTCATGTGGGTAGATGTCATGCAGGTTATGACAACAAGACAGAGGGTAACAATTGAGTATCATGGCAATGGTTATATTTTCACTGTTAATCAGGCTGGTGTGGAGGGGCAAGTAAAATCAAACAGTATGGAAAGAGGGATGATTTCGCTTGACACATATATTGTCTTTCAAGCATCGAACTCCAGTGGAATGAAGGTAATTTATCATTCTTGCAGTATGCTTACTTGCCTTCCCATTTTCTTGCTGGATGTTATTTTCTTTTTGTTTCCATTGTATATTTTTCTTTTTCTGTCCATCTTTTCCTTAATGAGGATGGCCTTCTTCAGATCTTTGTACACGTGGTTGTGAAAGTTCACTACCATATTCTTATGCTCAGTTACTGTTAAACTGCATCTTGCATGTGGGAGAATGCCTTTTTGTGCATGCCACAATGCAGATGCATTCTAATTAAACACTAGATCACTAATGTCTTCTATAGTACAATTAATGATTCTTTGAACTCTAGATCGTCAATGGGCTTGAAGTGTTAAGCAAATTTGTTGGTGAAACTGAGAAGAATGTGAGAGATTTATTTGCTGATGCTGAACAGGACCAGAGAACTCAAGGTAAGAGGGCTACACTGGCTAAAGTTACTTTTGGTCGTTCCCTTTTATGTCTAATGCTTTCATTTCTTCTTTTCAGGGGATCAAAGTGACTTGCATGTTATCATATTTGATGAAATTGATGCAATTTGTAAGGTAGGAGCTCTCAAAATTTTAGTTGAATGTTTCTCACTGCTTCTTGAAATTGTGGGTTGGCAGAACAATTAGCTGCTATTATTTGGCATGGGGTCGCTGAGTATAAGTTTTGGTGGTTATATGATGAATGGAATTTTTTGGGTTCTCTTCCTTTTTGCTTTTCCTATGAAGAAAAAGAGTTTTGTTGAAGTGCACATTCAACTGTTGCTTCATCATAAAAGAACTGTTGAGTAATGATTTGAATGTTTGATTTTCAGATTGAGCAAACAATCCGAATCCTCAAATAAATGTTTTTACATTATATCAATGTAGTCCAGAGAACGTCACACTTTCGAGAGCTTGTCTGACAAGTCTTATTAACATTCACACTTCTGAGGACTTGCATTTGCCAACAACTAGTTTTTAATTTCATTGCTCAATCTGCAAATTAGGTCTCAACGTCTATTTTGATTTAGTTGATGTTAGTAAATATTTTTCATGATAGGTCAAGTTTATGAATTGTCCAAAAAGGCCTTTTGATTTTGAGTCAAGTTTGTTAAGATACTTGTACTTTGTAGCTAATAATTGATTAGTATTTTTGATAACTGTCTTTTACTATTGGATTTATTTATGTTTTCAGTGTTCTAATGAGCCATGTAATTGTTAGCCATTCTGCAATCTCTTCTGGTGTTATGTTATCCAATAAATTAAGATAATTTGTTATTGCTATAACAGTTTGATTATTTGGTTATGCAATTTATTCTTTGGCTTGCTCTTGCAGTCAAGAGGTTCAACTAGAGACGGTATTGGAGTTCATGATAGCATTGTCAACCTGCTCCTAACAAAGGTTGGTTTAACTGTATTTCAACTTCTCTGTAATATTAGTAAGAAAATGTCACTGTGGTAAAAGTACACCAGGCTAACAAATTTCAGGAACTGATTGAAAATTACTTGCTGTTTAGATAGATGGCGTTGAGTCACTGAACAATGTTTTGCTGATTGGGATGGGGCCATTATTGAAAAGTGGATCAAAAGTTCACGAACTAGACGAGCACCCTCCCCAACATATTTCTTAACAAGTTCACGAAGCTAAATTGTACAAGACTACTCGACAGTATGAGCATTTTTGGGAGGATTAAATATTTTTGGATGGATGTGAATGGGTAACAAATATTAGTAGTTTTATTTGTTGATAGCTGCGCATGGATAACAAATAGTTATGTTTCAAATTGTTATGCTAGATGGATGTGACTTGTGAATGAAAACTTAGAATAGTTGTATTGTGTCGAATGTTAATGAATTATGTATTGTGTCGAATGTTAATGATTCAATTAATTTGAATGATGCTTTAAAATTATAGATTTATTATGGATTGAATGAATTATTAGGAATTACAGGTGTATTGTTTTCCTGCTTTGGCAATCAATTTATTAGTCGCGACATCCAAAATAATTTTTTTTCGCAAAAAATGACAATTGCCGACCAAGAGTCTTGGTTGCAAAAAATACATCTATTGCCGACCAAAACAGCTCTTGGTCGTGAAAACTCACTTTTGCCGACCAAAAGTTTTGGTCGCGAAAAGTAAAAAATGGCGACCAATTTTTTTGGTCGCGAAATGTGATAATTGGCGACCAAAATATTTGGTCGCGAAATGTAATAATTGGCGACCAAACTTTTTGGTCGCGAAATGTGACAATTGACGACTAAGAAATTTGGTCGGAAAAATATCACTTTTCGCGACCAAAGTGTTTTGGCGACAAAATAAATTAGTCGCGGTAATTAAATATTTAGCGACCAAAAATTTAGTCGGCAAATCCAACTTTTGCCGACCAACCACAATTTTGGTCACGAATTACTTTTGTCGACCCTCAATTGGCGACCAAAGTAGCGACCAAAAAAATTGGTCGCGGATAACTTTTGCCGACCAAAAATTGACTTTTAACAACCAATTTTTTTGTTGCCAAAAGTGTTCATTCTTGTAGTGTATTGGTTATTAATGTATTTAAATTTTTTTTTGAGAGTTGTGTTTGACAGTAATATAAATGATTCAGTTCATTTTAGAGTTATAAAAATTATATTTTATGAAAATTTCTATCATTATTGGCATGCAAAATGTGCACATAATTGCCTAGTCAGTCCACCGCGGTTGGGCCGGTGAGCCCAATTTGGGATGAAATTTTCAATTTGTTGAAATTTTTGAATTGGATTTGAGATGAAAAGTTCTAACTTGACCTACTCATTTATTTATAAAATAATAATTTTAATATTATTTAGCTACACTGAAAATTTTAAAATCATTCACAATCTCACTAAAACTCAATGATACACAATTTTGACTTTCTTAAATTTAATTTTTTATATTTTGATTTTTTTAAATAATAAAGCTCCCTTATTTTACATCTAATTTATTGATTTTTTTTGTCTTAACATGGCTGATGGATACAGTAAAGGTAATGAAGTTAAATTGAGGGAGTTTAGGACGAGAATTTATCTTGTATTTTTGAACTTTTTGATTAAAATATAAAAAAAAAAATTAGGAAGAATTTTCTGACTTTTATGAAAAAGATGTGTAAATGAAGAGGGATAAGCTCTCGTCATACCTCATCTCTCTATATCTCTTCATGTTCATTTTATAAGTTTTGATTCAGATCTGTATTGATGATCTGAACCATCTATCTCGTAAGCCCTGTAATGAAAGTTATCCATGCAAAAAATTAATTTCATCAGATAACTATAAACATAGGAACAAATCGCATTTTGTTTTATAAAATAGATAGTTTAAATTTAATTAAATTTAACATTCATTTTATAAAAAAAAAAAATGCAACTTATTTTTGTATTTACAATTTTTTGATAACATTGATTTTTTACATTTATGACTTTTATTATGAAATTTACGAGATAGATGGTTCGGATTATTGATGTGGGCACAAATTGAAACCTACAAGAAGAATATGGAGAGATATGAAGGGGATCTTATCCCATAAAAGTAGAGTGAATAAGAAGGAATTTTTGACTTTTTAGTGTGTGTTAATTTTTTTAAAACTTTCTAACCTTGTTAATGATTTTTTTTAAAAACTTTTTCGATTAAAATATTGTGTTCCAAATGAAAGTTATAGACTGAAAAACGCATCACACTATACAAAAAATTAAGGTTTTAGAAACAAAAATTTAGGGATAAAATTATTTTTTAAGGACCAAATAATTTTGTTGCGAAAGTATCGTTATTATATTTTTAGCAACAAAAATTGAGCATTAGTGATGAATTATTAACCAAATTTTTTGTCTCACAAAATAAACCATTTTGAGACCAAATTATTTTGTCCCTAAAAGTCTATTTATTAGTGGCATTTTCAAAATTTTGTTGCTAAAAACTTTATTTTTAACTTTTCGGGACAATGTTTTAACAACTATTCTCATGACGATGAAAATTGGTCTTTAAATGTCTTTTGTAACAAAATTTTTACTTTTAGAGATCAAAATATTTGATCTCTAAAATTCTTATATGTTGTAGTGATATAATTGAACCGGCCCAGTATTTTAAAGAATTGAAAAACAATCCGGGTCGGCCCGATCCATATTGTTTATGGACCGGTTCATGATTTTGAACCATGGGGTCCACCACCACCTTATCTTATTTTTAATATAAAGATAACTTTTGGCACTCTCTGTGGCGAGTATGCATCCTCCACCACCATATAAGGTTGAAAATGAAATTTAATAATTTTATTTTAAAATATTATAACATATTAATTTAAAGGGGAAATATATATAAGTGGAACGACCAAAATAAAATAAAATAAAATAATTACAAATCAATGGTAAAACCTATCAACTTTAGTAATTAAAATGATAAACTTTTCTAAGATTTTGTAATTTTTCTGGGATATTTCCACTGATTTGCAATTTTTCCTTATTTAAAACTTAAAAATTAGGTTTCATTTGAAAAGTGAGTTAAATTTTTGATATTTTAAGTTTTTTAGCTATTTTAGCCAGGGGCTAAAAAGTTCATTTTAGTTGGTTTTTTTGGCTTTTTTAGTTTTTATAAGAGAAAAAGTAAAATGATTATGGTCTCATCTAACATTTTATTTATTTTGTCTTTTTGTGACTAATTTAGCTAAAGAGTCAAAAAAGCCCACTTACCAAACAAGGGATTAATGATTTATAACTATCAAATCATTATAGAATTACGTATTTATTCATAAATCTCTCTTCACATACTTATATTTTACGTTCCAATAAGTCCTATGAGTGACATAATTACTAAAATATCCTTAATAATAATAGAGTGAAGTGCGCATTAATATTCACATTGTCAGTATAATGTTTCATGATGTGAATATTCATATTGTCAAATTTATTTAATGTAAATGTTCATATCACCAAATTATTAAGGATTAAAAAAAATATTTATAAGGATAAAATTATCCATAAAATACCATAAATATGAAAATTAAGATTTAATGAATCAAATTTCAAAATAATAAAACTTATTGAAATATAATAATATCTTATAAATTAATTAAAATATAAATATTTAAAAGAAAATTTTCTAATAAATCCCCCTAACAAAAATGTCAAATGTGCATTACATGTCATGTGTTACAAGCATATAGATTTTAGTGGATTCTCAACTCTTCTTTTTTTGGGTGGGGGGGCATTGTTAGCTTTCCTAGTTGAAAACAAATCTGTTTTATTTTTTTAAATATTTATTTATTTATTTATTAGTGATGGCGAAATATGAAACCTTATTTTACATAAACTATAAAACCTTTTCACATCTGATTTGTAACTCGCCAGGTAACAAAAATAAAATAAATACAGATTGGCTAGTTAATAAACACCCTGTCAAATTTTTTAAATAATTAGGAAATATAATCTATATTGGTTAAAAAACAGCCAATCAATTTTTTTTAATAATTAACATAATTGCTATAAATTTCATAAAAGACAAAAAATGTATATTTGAATAGAAAATTTTTACCATATACACCTTAGATGAATTTGGTTATAATTGAAATAACAATCACAATAAATCATAATAAGATTATAAATCATTAAAAAAAAAAAAAAACTCTTAAACCCTGATGTCGGTGTTCATTTTTGACCCCATAACCAAACAGATCTCCTATCGAAATTTAGGGAACTTAGCTGGAGAGTACGCGGCAGAATAGATTAAGCCAACACTTGCGCATAAGAAGACAAGAAATACCGAGGTGCCTCGTCTACCAGGGAGCACTCTGACAATGAAGTCAGTCAACTTATCTCTCAAAGATATCAACATAAGTACACAATTCATAATCAAAAAGCATACATTAGACCCACGGGGGTGCCTCACTTTTATAGCCAGCAGTATTCGCGTTTTTATAAGTCTTACTTCATAAGATTCTATCCTTACAAGGATATCCCTTATTCAAGATTCCTCTTATTTAGATTAGGATCAACTCTCTTAAGAGTCCAACTTTACCCAAACAAGTAGTTTAACATCATCTAGGACTTTTGTCCTCTATCCGAATATTTTGGATTCTGACATTACCACACCATAGCTCGGCAATATCACAACAACCTTGGTATCATGACTCGCCCACGTGGCACCTCAGCCACATGGCGTGACCCTAAAAATACATCTCCACAATTGCTTCTAGGTTTTATTACCTTGACAACCTGAGGTGATGGAACCTATATCGTCTGATCTCCCAACATGTTGGCTAAACAATATGCTAGCAATACTACTCCGACCGAGGTCATGACTCGTTGGTGTCAAGAAATAAGGACTCAAATGTCCATTTATCAAGAATCAAGAACCAAAATATTCTTTTATCCAAGATCAATATCTCAACCGAGATTATCACACTACTAGCCGAGATCGTGACTTACTAGCTCGAGAATTCCAAGAACCCAAGACGCGTGTGAGCTGTTACGCCATAACTGTCACAACCGTATTATCTCCACATGTCATCACCAGATTGGAGCGTACCAATCATGTGATAACCCTACTCCGTATTATGCTTTAA